CTGTTAACGTATTAGTTTAGAAGATATTTCTTTTTCAATAAATCAGAACCCAATTTAAAACAAAATGATAAAATAATAGTGAGAGAGAGAGAGAGTGAGTGAGATTATTAACCCCAAACAGAGGAATTGAAGTAAGGGAATGTGTGCATATGTTGAAAAATTCTTGCGTTGGTGATATGACTTACTTTTGGTTGAAGACTCTGTTTTGGTTGAAGACTCTGTTTTGTTTGAAGCCTCTGAAACAAGAACGAATTGTTTAGGTTCAGAACCATCAAAGCTCTCTACAAAAGTCAAATTTCTCCCTTTCCAGTGTAAACATCCATATTCATATCCACTCGTAAAGCCTACACATTCACAGTCCTTCCAGCAGTTCTCTCTGCAGTCACTCTCAGTAGGACTTGCATTATTATCAGCAGCAGATGCATTCACTCTCTGTCCATCTCCATTAGCGAAATGCCCTGATTTCGAAACAAATTTGTCATTATGATTCCTGCATCTTGGCTGCTCCCCTAATTCACAGCCTTGTATGTTATCACCATAACAGAGACTAACTTGTGCGATACTCGTTACCCTCTCCTGATCATATATATCCCCGTCATATTCCAGCATCCATCCAGAAATAGTTGTTAGACGTTCACATGTCCGCTCGGAGTCAATAAGGGAGTAGCTGAAGTAATCCTCCACACCATTTGAAACATTGGTGAAATTGTATTTAATATTTGTATCGGGTTTAGGGACTATATTCTCAAATTCCTTGACATTCAATCTCGAGTTCTCATCCGTATAATTTTTCAAGTCGCCACTGGTCCAATAAGCCAACCCTCGTCGTAGTACAATCAGTCTACGTGTGCCAGGATCCCATTCTAGCGTAAAAGCTCCTGGAGCGGGATCGGTTTCTGACGTAGCGGAAGATTATAGGAAAGATGAAAACCCTCACAAATATGAGATAAACTCACGAAAGTTTTTATTCAATTCAATAATGTCTGGCTCGAAGGGCTTACAATGGTTTAAATAGCAAAACCCTAGCAAATTTCGGAAAATAAATAATAAAAATAAAAAAAATGATATTTTTCCATAAATGGAAAAATTCGA